GAAATCTGCTTTCTGTAAGATAAGCAGTCCCTGAGGAACATTGGAGAGCTGAGCAAAACCACTTGGTGATTTTTTTATTTTTCTCGTGACTCCTCCTTAGTCCTTTCCTCGTGAGCACACCCTGGTCACGCTTCCCTTTTCGTCCCTCTGCGAGATGTGCTCCCCAGAGGTGGCTGGGGGAGGAAGCAGCTGCTTGCTGGAGATGCGGGTCCCGTGTCCTCCCCCGTGCTGTGTACTGGGGACCCCGGCCACAGTGTCTGGGTCACGGAAAAACACCTTTCGGTGTGCGAGGCTGCAGAGCTGAGCTGGCCCGGCTGGTGCTGTGTGGGTGAGGTGGCCTCGTGCCTTCAGGGCTCCTGCATTGGTGTTGTCCCCCGAGGATGAGGCACCCCCGAGAACGAGGTCTTCCCGTGCCTGTGTAGGACTGTGCCGAGGAACGTGACAGTCCGGGCCAGGAGTCCCAGGCAGGGAGATATCGCAGGAACAGACTGGAGTTTACGCCGTTAGAGGGTCTGGGATCCACACTGTCCTTCCCTGTCCCCCCACCTTGCAGGAACGGTCTGTAGGACTGCGAGGGAACGTTGGTGGCTTCGCTCTGCGGAAGCCGTGGCGTTACCGTCCTGATTAACCTGCGCTCTGGCCGCGTTGTCTTGCAGGGGCCTGCCAAGCCAAGCCTTCGAGTACATCCTGTATAACAGAGGGCTCATGGGGGAGGACACCTACCCGTACCGGGCCGAGGTATTTCCAGCGCAGCTCAGGCACGTGTCTGCAGCGGCAGAGCAGGGTCCAGCTCTAACCCCGCTTCCTTTCTGCCCTCGCAGAACGGCACCTGCAAGTTCCAGCCGGAGAAGGCTATTGCGTTTGTCAAGGATGTGATCAATATCACGCAGGTAAGGCCGCGAGGGTTGTGTTTCCGAACTTCCCGGGCTGTGCCAAGCCTGACCTGGAAGGTGCTCGGCTGCCCCGGGGCGTGCGGCGCTCTGCAGTGCAGGCTGCAGCCTGCTCGCTCGCTGGGGAGGAG